TGGCCTGAAACGCTAATTTTAGTTCAAGCGGTTTTTGACTTATGCGACCTAAATGAGAATTTAATATCTCATTAATAGAAACTCAACGACAAAAAGACAGATGAAAACGGAGTCCGTATGTAAAAGTTATGAATTTTACACGGACATTTAACGGTGTAATCACCTTCTACTGTTAAATTTAAGATCGATCAAGAATTAGTCGACGGAGTAAAAAGAAAAGTTGTAGATTTTATTTTTACCTACGCATGGATATAAATAACATCAAAAACGAAGCTCGTATGCGAAATTTATGGATGAAGCTTAGTCTCTACTCTTCGAGCGCGACAAATTCGATACAGTTTTGTAAATCCGAGATAGATTGAGAATTAGCCAACGGGGTCTAAATGAAAGTTGTAGTACTTGTAAATACCAATTCGTGTATATAAAGAATGTAGAAAATGGAGCTCGTACGCGAAAGATACAGACGATGCTTGGAGACTACTTTACTATAAAATTCATATTAATAAGATATGAACTCTTCATAATTTCTTCACACCATAAGCCTCCCTTTCTCTCTCTAACTTCTCCCTAGCCTCCCTAAACCCCTCCGAAGTCTAGGGAACCTCCCTAGCATGAGAAGAAAGCCCCGGAGCGCCAAACGACTCCGAGAAGAAAAGCTTTCAGCTCGGAAATGCTGCTCAAGCGAAGCCCAATTTTTAATAAAAACCCGTTATAAGTGAGCTACGCCTATACTATATTTAATATAGCTTTTATTTAATTATAGTAACATTATTAGGACCTTAAAATAATTATTTGGGCTATTATTATGAGTTATATTGAGTGTTATTTAATGCTTATATAATAGTAATAATAGCTAGACTGTTAATTAGTCGCGGTTAACGTTAAAACTAAACCTTAGTGGTATAGATACTAGGTTTTGTCGAGGAAAATTGTTTTGAGATAATGAAGCGCTATCTGAGTTCAGAATCACCACCGTATCAACTGAGTGCATAGTTACTTTCATCTTACACATAGATAAGAAGTATTTTATATAAACTACGTGTCATGTGTGAATAGTATCTATATAATTGCTATGTATGCTGGTTGAACGATTTTATACATGTTTTAAATGATTTAAATTGTATATGTATTTTATATCTACAATAATGTTGGGGTAAACCATGGGTAGATGTAATAGATGGAGTATGAGTTGGATGATGAGTAGAGAGGTGAAATAGACCGAGAGGTGAGGGTGAGAGGTGGACGATGTGAGAAGCCTTTTTCCAAAATGACGGCCCAGTCATTCAACAGAGTACAGATGACAACCACAGACTATTCTAGACAGTCCAGTGGAACACTAGCAGGCTCACAACCTGTAGGTGTTGTGAACGATGTGTTCACCAGTGTACTCTAAAAACCGATTGACATGTATTGCAAGTGGATAGTGTCGATAAACGAAATAGCCCTAGCAGCTATGGATTTAGTGCATGTTGAGTAAACCCTGGCAACGATGGATTTCGTGCCGATTCCTTAGGATGATCCTTAGGAATCAATTAACGAGGAGTCACTGATTCTTAGGTTAGACCGTTAAGAGTAAAGAAGATAATGGGGATGGGTAATTGGGTTAACTGTTTGACAATTAAACATAATAATTATATTATTGTGGGTTGAAAACCCTATGTACTCACTAGGTTTCCAAAATTGACCCACTCAGTTTATTTATATCACAGTTGTTGATATGAAGTCACATTACACTGAGAGATGAAGGAGATATAAATCACTAGTGATAATGAATGTAAGTTTTGTTTATGCTAATGTTTCTGTATTGACAATGACATCCTAATTGCTTTAAAATTAATAAAAATACTTTTCCTCGGAAATGCTTTGATAACGTATTTATCATGTTTTACTGGGAACAAATTCCGCAACATTTTGACTAAAAGAGATACCCTGATTTTTCTAAAGCATATACATAATCGGTCTTTTCTGGCTGTGAAAATGGGGGTGTCATAGTTCACAGCCACAATGTCCATGAGTTTACACCCTTGCTGTAAACTCATAGAGTTCACATCCTAGCTGTAAACTCATAGAGTTTACACCCTGGCCGTAAACTCTTATCCATATATATGGCTCTTGATCGTTTCTAGCCATTTCTTACATTCCAACCCCAAGGACTCGAGTTTTCTCTCAAGTACCATCCAACTTTTCATCCTAGATCTTCCAAAACATAAGTGTTCTTCCTTTGATTTACTGATACATCTCTTAATCTAGTATCATCTCATGATTTCATCCATGGAAATGATCTTTTCTTAGATCTTCAAGAAACACCAAGAACACCAAAAAACACACATTAGCGTTCTTGGACCTTAATCACCATTTCAAGCCTTTATATCGTAAGTACTCTCTCCTTAACTTGTTATATAGTTGAAACACTAGATCATAGTCATAAAACTTCATAAAACTCATCATCAAAGAGATTTTACGGACATGAGTTTACATCCTGGCCATAAACTCATAGAGATTACACCCATGCCATAAACTCATAGAGTTTACACCTTGACCGTAAACTTATAAAGTTTACACCCTGACCATAAACTCATAGAGTTTACACCCTGGCCGTAAACTCATAGAGTTTACACCCTGGCCGTAAACTCATACAGTTTACACCCTGACCGTAAACTCATACAGTTTACACCCTGACTGTAAACTCATAGAGTTTACACCCTGACGGTAAAGTCACAGAGTTTACACCCTGGCCGTAAACACCTTTTCTGGGCCTTAAACATCCCTTAGATGAATCACATGTCATTCCAACACTTGGTCAAAGTGTTTTCTAGCCACGTGAGGTGCTTCCTTGCATTTGGTTGCTTCTTAAACGCTATATTTAAGTCAATTTATGCCATTACATGTCTTTTAAACTGTTTTAAATGCTTTAAAGGGGGGACGGGAATACAAGTTGAATAGAATGATAATTGTATAAATGTTAGTTATAAACATCTTTCAAAAGATTGCTTATGTCTTATATAAGTGATCAAAACATTTCAAAACCCTTTTAAAGTTATGTTGCTTTATAGTTTAACAAAACTCTATTTTTAAAGCACAAACATAACTTAGTAGATAAATGAGTCTTTTCCATAACAGTTCAAGTAGACATACTAGTAAACTATAAGGGGTATAGTTTAGAGGCCCATTTTATACTAGATACAATACACGATAACAAGAAGAAGATACTAAGATACTATAACAGAACGGACATACTAAGTTGCTATAGCATGGAACTAATACATGATCTAACAATACCAATGAATCACTAACTCATTGTACTAAAAAAGAAGGTGATAGTTATATTGGGTATACATGATCACATATCTTTAATGTGGATTACACAACCTAGCATCTGGATTGCGGATGTCGTGTTTGGTTCCCAGAATCTCATGACAGGGAGAGCATATTTTACGGGTACTAGCCTTCACATTATCGCCTTAATAAAACAAACATGTTTTAAGGAAATCAGTACGCCAGCTTGTCAATTCAAAAGAAAACTGAGTACTATCATTTTCCCATTATTTTCATAAAGTGACAGTTCCACTTGATAGTTAATACAAACTATTTTCGAGTGAAGATACTTATAAACTAGGGAAAACTTACATTTTACAAACGACAATCAGAACAGTCGAGTCTAGTACATTCAGTAAAAAGGCACCATAATGCTAACCTTATGATTCCTTAATGTATACATCAAGGTATATATACTAATAGGATCTGACAGATAATAACATGTGTGCTATCTGCTTCATTTCTTGTTCCTTGTTTAGTTGTGGGCTTAGAGCGGATTCACCTAGCCTATTATCCATCCGATCTTAGTTATGTATGTGTTCCGTATACATTAAGTCATCATAAGGGGTACTAGGTATGGGTTAGGTCATAGGACACTAAATCAATGCACATTTTTCTAGTCCAAAACATACTTTCCAAATCAAAACTTTTGGTATATAGAACTAGAAACTTACCAGTAAAGGGTTTGATCCATTTTATTAAACTAGTATAACTTAAAGGACCTTAGGTGATTAATTCTATAAAAACTTAGTTTATAAATCAGGGTTATATATAATTAATACCCGATAGATAGTTAGATGTGTGCCTTGCACCTCATTTCATGTTCCTTGTTTGGTTGTGGGCTTAGGGCAGATTCACACAAGTAACTATATATTAGATATTAGATTATATATAACTATTACAAACTAAGTGACTATAGAAGGAACCACTATGGTTACTATTTTATTATAAGATATAAGGGTTTTATTAAAGGATCTTTTCATCAAATATAATGGAACTATTACAGTTAACTCTACGAGTACCAAGTGAAAACACCAGGGTTATATACAATGATGATCTAACAACCAATAGGATGTGTACCATCCGTCCTATTTCCTATTCCTTGTTTGGTTGTGGGCTTAGGGCAGATACCACTACTAGAAAACAGCCCTTTAACGACGCGTTAACAATGACACTCACTAATAGAGGACGTGCATTTGTGTGTGCCCTAAAAATAATCTCAGTTTTGCAAAATTTGAAGGATAGAGGGCACGCATTTATGCGTGCCCTAAAAATAGTGTCCAAAAGAAAAAATTAAAAACATGGAGGGCACCTATCATAAAAAAGTGCGTCGTCTAAAACTGTTGATTTATATTTTTCTTTAGGAAGGCGCGTTCTCTTAGCGGGAAATGAAATACCAAAAAATTAAACAGCCCTCCGATTCATCTCCTTCTTCTTCTTCTTCTAAAATCCTCTACCAAAAAGCCCTAATAAACCTTTAAGCAGTTCATATTCCCCTCTCTCTCTCTCTCTCTCTCTCTCTCTCTCTACAAGCCCTAAGTCACCACCACTATCATCGAACCTCATAATCTTTAAAATTTCGAAGTGCCTAAGCAAACACTTCCGCCATCTCAAGATATCGGTTCAAGATCGGAACACCACATCGCAGTACACGATGACATCATCGTCTCCACAAACCGTCATCAATGGCTGAGAAAACGAATGTGACTGGTGATCATGAGCCTGGAAAAACTGTAGCCCATCATCCCTAAAACGCCCAATAGAAAAAAACCCATATTTAAATCCCTAATTGATTTAGATGATGATCATGAAGAGAACTTGGATGAAGTCGCACCTTCTTCACCTTTTGGTTTGACTTCATGGCATTTTGATTCAAAGTTTTAGGTAATATTTCTTGATATTATTATACCCTTATCTCTTCAACTATCTTCAATCGATCGCTTCAATGTCTTCAGTCGATTTCATTATCTTCAACCGATCGAAGTGAAAGATGATGATATTTTCGGAGTTGATTTTTTAGGGTTCGTTCACATCCCTGTGGAGGAGATTGCGATCTCCTCCTCGTTCGAAGATCCCCTCTTCTATTCTCTATGCATCTACTTCTCGGTCCAATTCTGATTCTTTGTTAACAGTCGCAGACAACACCTTTCGCACATACTAACGTTTAATCTTTTGAGCAAAATTTCGAGAATATGTTATGGTCTTAGAATCCATTTTTTCCCTTGCTAATATTCGATGGAAATAGGTATTTTCATATGGACATGGTTAGTTTCTGCAACACCTCAATTAGGTTGTGTAGTTCTTACATAACTTGTTGATGCATGACTACGGAGAATTGACACCAAACGGCGACTCTTTGCATCTCAATTCAGATTCCATGGCCCAGCTGCCAAGCTAAGGCCTCAACTTGCACTCGGTGATCCTGAATCACCACCTGAAAAGGAACCTGTTCAAGATATTCTAGCACATCGCCTGTGGCTCAGCTTCTTCATTGATCGTTTTGAGGTCAGTGTCTCTGTTCATGTGTTTAAATTACTGCAACAAGTTTTCAATCTGAAATGAAAACAATTGTATATTTGATTCTTTTATTTTTACACGTGGTTCGACACAACAATGTGGAACAACTCTTGCTTCCTAGTAGAATGTTACAAGCGACTACCAAATTCCCATGCAGATTTTCCTACCATTCAGTCACCACTGGTTCCTTATTCACTCTTATGTTGCTTGGACTTAAATTATGTTCATGCCAATTTCAGGGGAATTTGCACAAGTTTAAATTAGGACTTTAGCTTCTAGAAGATAGGATTTAGCGGTATTTAATATTATACTTTCTACTCTTTTCTTTAATCATTTGTCCTCTTCAATTGATTTCCATTTTGCATTTTCCAACTGTTGTAGGGCTTCATTCGGCTGGTTCTGCCATCAACCTGAGTGATTTGAGACAAATAATGGGAATTTTGCACACAGTGAAGCTCAATTTGTTCATTCTTTTGTCCAATTTTTGTTAAATCACCAAATGGATGTTCCTTAAAATGATTCAATTAAAAGTACAAGGCCAAGAAAATGGAAATTCTTTGCTTAATATGTTAAGAGGTTGTTTCTTTTTTACTTAATCTGCTTGATGGGTTAAGCATATATACTTGTTTCTTTTAGACTTAATCTGCGCAGAATGACGTTGACTATTTATAGATTTTTCCTTTCTTTTCTTCATCCCAACTCCTCTCTCGTTAAAATTGATAGAATATTGTGAAATTTGTATTTTGGAATGTAAGGATAAAATGGTCATTTAGTCTCATTCAGACGATTTGTTCAGCCACTTTACCCATACAACACTTTACAAGGGGGAAAAAAGAAACAACCAATTGCAAGTTTTCTGTTTTGTTTTTTTTTATATCTGATGATTGTGTTTAAATTGGTAAATCCAAAAGGATTCATATGAACCTATTTGGGGAACAATGGAGAATTATGTTGTTAGTAGGCCCAAAGAAAGCAGCTACTTTTAATGCTCCGTTAGCATGAAGCTGAAAGGCTTGATGTTTGGGCTATGTCTGTTCCTCTTCCTGGCTCCAAGTAAATATTTTCCACCATGTCTTCTACCTTTTTCATCTTTTTCCATCATCTATGACTAACAACATTATCATTTACTAATTTACCCTCAGAGAGATCATCACACCCTGGAAGCCTAAGATTAACCCAGAGAAATGGATTGAACATGCAAGAACAGTGTTTGATGTTGACCCATGGATTGCTTTCTCTTTAGGTGCTAGATTTCCTACAAATTCTCCTCTAAAGATGGAACTAACTCACTTGGTTCAGGTAACTATCTCCATTTTTATAATATGTAAATGAGATTTTTGTTTTATAATTTATATAGTGACATCTGTTTTTTTTTTAATGTTGCAAACAGATATATTAGAGATTCGCACCATACCTGAAGCTTTACCTTACTTTGTGACCCCAAAAGCTATGGATGAAGATTCACAACTTTTGCAACAGTTAACACATTGAGGGTATTAAAGCCATATCCTCCTTCCCGTGTAACCTTTTTCATGGCACAGCTGATTCAAGCTCTAAGATACGACGATGAGGTGTTGTATTTTATATAACTACATTTACTTCTGTTGTCTAATTAAAAAATAATAAGATTTGCTTAATATGCAGAAATTGGTTGAGGGATACCTGAATATATAATTTTCATGCCATAGGGGCCAAATTTGTAATTTTCTCTTAATTGGTCCCTATGATATATATAACTTTTCTTTTTTCTGGTTTTGGTCATAGGGAAAAATGGTCATAATGAAAATTTTAACAACCAGGCTGCTAAGTTAGACAACATGGGAACCAAAATCATTAGGAAACTTCAAAATAAGTTTTTGGAAAAAAAACATTCAAAAATCAAGTATACCCACGGACCAAAAATGTATTTACTCAATGGATCTGTTATAAGAATATGTGTGAGTTTGTAGTAAGTGAAGTATTTATTGATGACAGGGAGAGACATGTACGCCAGAGCAAGTGGGGAATGAAGGTATGACGATGAGGTGTTGTATTTTATAGAACTACATTTACGATTTAAATAATAATAATAATAACATTCGCTTAATCTGCATAAATTGGTTTAGGGATACCTGGTTAGAGCTACTCAAAGAAGTGATGTATTCTCTCATATTCTCATTTGGCATTTACAGGTTGGCACATTTTGTCTCTGGTTTTAAATAAATTACAACTTTGGTCCCTGAGTAGTGAGTGTAGTTGAAGTTTCATAAATATTTTAGTCCATGTGACCTGTAAGTAAACAACATAGCTGTTAGATTTTTTAAAATGATCATTTTACCCTTGGACCAAAACTGAAAAAAAAAAACAGTATTTCACGGGGTCCAAATTTGTAAATTTCTCTTATTTGGTCCATATGATGTGTGTGTGTGTGTATATATATATATATATATAAATATATATATATATATATATATATATATATATATATATATATATATATATATATATATATATTCAGTTTGGTCATAATGAAAAATTCAACAGCCAGGCTGTTAACTTAGATGACACGTGGATAAATTAAATTTATTCATGGCAACATTTATATTTGGTCACAGTAGTTGCTGTATTGGGATTTATACTTGATGAAGTTTCATGGATAAATTAAATTTATTCATTTTGTTGTGGATATTATGAGATGTTGGACATTTTAAAAAAATTTCAGGTAGGATGTGGTGTCACTGCCGGATGGTGTATCTGCTTATCTGTTACAACAATGGGATTCATCCATGTTTATAAGACTACATATTATCTTCTGGATCCCCTTCAAAAGGTGTCTCAAGGTAACATAACATATATATTTTTTGTTGGAGTCTTTATATATATTAAGTACATGCAATTAGAATATTGACACCTTTATATGTAGTGTGTATTTAAATAGTGATTTATATGATCTTGTAGGACCTAGATGCATTCACTGCAACTATTGTTGTGAGTATTGCCTTATCTTTCATTCCTGCTTCGTTAGTTGTTGCTATTATGAAGGTAGGCCACTCTCCGGTTGTATTTTTCACATTTTTGACAAGGAGTTGTTGTATCTATTCAGAGTAGGCTTAGAGCAATGGTTGCAAGAGATGAGTTCGGAAGAAGAAGAAACAAGGCTACAATTATAGTTCAGGTATTATGGATGAATTATGTTTGTAAAGTATTTAAGATGATGATTAAAGACAGGTGTGAATTTTAACAGATTAGTTAGCAACTTGCAGGTTGATCTTGAATAAGCAGAGGGGCAATGGATTGTATTTTTTTGTATCTAATTCGTTTGTAAATTTTTGTTACAACTTCTATTGATTTGTTTTATCTTTCCATGGAACGATTATTTGTATGACATTAAATTTATGTAATGGATTCTATTTTTTGTATATTATATTTTATTTTCTATTATGAAACATTAAATACAAATTTAATTTGAAAATAACTAAATCTATAAATAATATTTTTTTAAACATTTAAAATTATGATACGCAAAAATGTATGTCATCTTCATTTATGACATGGCATTTCTTGATTGGGGCTTTCTTGATACACAATGCGTGTCATTAACACGCACGTCGTAAGTATATGACACGCGAATGTGTGTCGTCTTCCTTTATGACAGGGCCTTCCTTGATATGCATTGCGTGTCGTAAACGCGCCTCGTAATTGTGCGTCGTAAATGCGCGTCATCTATAGACGACGCGCAAAAGCATGTCATCTCTCTTTATGACAGGGCCTTCGTTGACGCGCATTTGCGCGTGGTCTGAGCTTTTTACGGCGCGCAATGAGCGTCGTAAAAGGTTGTTTTTCTAGTAGTGTACACACAATTAATTGCTTGTTTAATTTGACTTTTATATAACTTGTATCCATTTAGTACTCATAGAAAAGATTGTAGAGTCATTTTTACCTATATTTCATCAAAACAGGAAATATAAGATTTTCTAGAGGAACAGGCGAACTTTTCTAAATCATAACTTACAATTTACTAAGCTTTCTACAACATACTTACATCACTAAAATCTTATGAACTCACCAGCTTAATTGCTGATAAACTCTTTTCAAATAACTTGTATTCTCAGGAAACTAGTAGACAGCTACTCGCACTGGGAATTCAGAAGATGGAGCAGTATAGATTCAAGTATTGTTTTGTTATTTGCTTATGTTTTCTATGTTTTGTAAACACGTACTTTTTAAACACTTTCTTTCTAATGAAATGGATGTTTATTACTTTCATTACTATGATGCATGTCTAGTGATACTAAACATGATGTCCTCCACCCCCGAACGTTTCCGTCGTTCCGGTTTTGGGGTATGACAGATTGGTATCAGACCATTGTTTATAGTGAACTAAGTATATCAACCGATAAAATATATACAACTATAAATACAATGGGTCTTAATTGCTCTGGATAATAATATATCTTAAGAATATAACAATAAGTTATAAAAATATACCTACTTGCTTATACATGTATACATACTAGAACAAGTATCACAAGAAGAACATAACAGAAGTATTTAAAGGTTGAATACTGCGGTCAAACTTGGGCAATTATATAATCGTATTTGGGATCAATATAGCCTAATCAACTATATTCATTTGAGATGCGACTGACATGTGCTTGGGAGTGATGTGGTGTTGCAACGGTGTTAAAACTTACCTAATGCTAAGATAATTCTAGATCAAGTACATAGAGTTAGAATACCATAGGAGTATTCTATGATACTATAACACGATAACAAGTCTGAAACATACTAAGTATATTACATTAAAATACTATAGGAGTATTTTAGGTGCTATATAAATAACTTATGTGATAACTTAAAAGACCCTTATAGATAGGTCTATAATCTTGCAATGTATACTCTGAAGGTTTTATATAATTGAGATTTTATAGACTTAGAATTTGTGATCTACGCTTCACTACCTATTCCTTGTTTGGTTGTGGTTTTGGAGTAGGATCACTTATTCAAAGGCCTATTTAATCTTAAATTATATACAATTTGTATACATTATACAATTATAGAAGGACTCAGTAAGGATCACCCCATAAAGTTACCCTAAATCTCATAGATTCGTTAGACACATCCACTCTCGCACGACAAACCCAAATAGATGTAACGACTTCCTCATATTAGCCAGTAGAAGAGTCAAGGAGGAACAAGAGCAAGTTCATGAGTGGTTTTTGAAGAAGGATCAACCGAAGTAACCAAAATGTCATATGTGTCACACTAATAAATAATAAATCTTGGTTAACTTAGAGAGTTACTGGAAACACTGCTCACCATATGTGATATGATTATTTTCTTTACATGCAACTGGTAACAGTTATTTAGGTCACAAATATTCATCCGAGGATAGCCATTTTTAATTCATAAATTTTATTTGGTATAGACTCTAACGTGAATCATTCCCAGAACCCTTTAGAAGTTAGGACCAGATACATTCAGAACTAGGATAAGCTTGTCTTTCAGCTTTCGGCTTTTATCCACTGCTATACACTTATTCCCTCTCATTTTTTTATTCTTTTAGAAAAGATGCCTCCTCGCATATCAAATAGACGAACTACTCTAATAAATCCAACTCAAACACCATTACCTCCGCCACAATTCGATACTGCTGCTTTCCAAGCAATGATATCCTCCGCAGTGGCAACTGCTCTAGCTCACTTCGGTGAAAGTGGTACCTTCGGATCTGGTAGCGGTACCCACTTAGCCAACCTCGGAGCTACTCACGGACACCCAAGGGAGTGTTTCTATAAGGACTTCATGAACAGAAAATCCAATTCCTTTAATGGGAATGGTGGAGTCATCGCTCTAATGCGATGGTTCGAAAAAACAGATTCGGTCTTCGCAATCTATTCGTGCTCAGAAGGGAGCAAAGTGAAGTTTGCTGCCTGCACCTTCTCCGGCAGAGCCCTAACATGGTGGAATAGCCATGTTAATTTACTGAACCTATCAGTGGCTAACTCAATGGGTTGGGAGAACCTAACAGAGATAATGCTGGAAGAATACTGCCCAAAGGAAGAAGTACAGAAGCTAGAACAAGAACTATGGGAGCTCAAGATGGTCGGCACAGACATAGTGGCCTATACTAACAGGTTTAACGACCTGGAAACACTATGCCCTGAGATTGTTACTCCATAGAGTAAGAAGATAGAAAGATACATATGGGGTTTAACATCCCCGACCCAAGGAGATGTGTTGTCTTCTAACCCAGCAACATTTGATAGCGCCAAACGCTTGGCACAACGACTCATCGACCATGGAGTCCGCCATGGCGTAGAAGTCCTAATTCCCGAGCCATCAAAGGGAGAGGACTATAAACCAAAGTCATGGAACAAGAGGAAGAAGACGCGAACAACAAAGGAACCCCCGCAAGAGTAACAAATGAGTACTATGTACGCTGCTACAATTCCTGCTACTCGAGCACCTACCAGCGATATGCTGGAACCCTCCCGAAGTGTGGAAAGTGCAACTATCACCACACCGGAGTATGATAGGAAATGCAGTGTCTGAACTACCACAGAAAGGGACACACAGTCCGTTTCTGCAGGGCACCAGCTCAAACGATCTCCCAAGTCCCCGGAGTTGAAGAAAACCAAGCCTACTATAGCTGTGGTGAAGCTGGACACTATCACAGGGACTGGCAGATATCTAAGAACTTTGGTGCGGATGGACGCATTCTGATGATCACCGCATGAGAATCAACCCCAGATTCGTCAACTAGTAGTGGTACATTTTTGAAATAGTAATTACTTTAAAAATTAATTAATTTATATTTATATAAGATTAAAACTTGGGGAAAACATTTAAAAGTAATTTTAATAACTCACTTATTGGAAAGGATCATAGTATTCAAGAGAACTAAAAGATCCGTTCAGAGAAGCTATGATGGCTTAGCATGTACATCAGGGTTGTGCATAGCTAAGATGTTGCAGACTTAAAATGAGTGATTCCGCCTTAATTCATGTTCCTTGTTTGGTTGTGGATTTGAGGCAGAGTTACTCAGTCGACTGTGTTATTCATCTTAATTATTCATAACTTGTATATGACAGACGATCGTAGTGGTACCAAGGAGGATCATGATACAAAGTATCGAAAGTAGTTATCAAATCACTTTCATTGTATGTACTTGCTCATCACGGTACATTACATAGAAGTGTTAACATCAAGGGAAAACAGGAAACACTAGAACAGTTACAAAGAGTACATTGTCGAACACACTAGGAGTACATTGTTGAACACACTAAGGGTACATCATTGTATAACAGACGTTTCTTTGAAATCGGCCAAAAACTTTATTCAGTAAAGAGTCTGTTACTGTCATTCGTCATGAATTGGCGTGGTCCTCACCATACTAAGTTCATATGTTTCTATCGCCTCGACCGTCAAGTTCGCGAAACCTTCGTCATTCGTGTCGACAGTCCGACCAAAACCTCACTTTATCTTTTGTAATTCTAAAACCCCAAAGTACTCGTGTAAAGGGTACTTTGTCCTCCGAAGCCTTGTCACTGTATGTTCAATAGACCTTTCCAAAATACCACTCGTCCAGCAGAGCAAGTTTGAGCACAGAGGCTACGGACGAATACAGCAAACCTATTACTATTCAGTGTATATGCGTGGGTGGTATATGAATATGATGACGCACATTTAGTATGTGTGTTTCTGCCCTATCTCCTATTCTTCGCACATCCGACCATCTTAATAATCATAATTATATACGACTTGTATAAATGAGGTAATGATAGATGGACCGAGTATGAGTCCTATCATGAACACTAAGGCAGAATTGCCAAGTCTACGAGTGGGTATTCTACAAATCAGAGGAGCGCAACCCCAGTAGTACTGGAAGAAAGCTAATTTTGGGATGAAATTTCATCTAACAGGGGGATGATGTGACAACCTAAATTCTTTTGCTTTGAAAGCTCAGTCAGTCAACTCAACTCAGTGTCAGACTTATTTCTAATGAGTTCTAGCCTTTTTAAAGGTCATTCTAAGGAGTTTTAGCCTAGTACACTTAAGGAATAAGTGTTAGGAAGTACCTGCTAAAGCCACAGTACAATAAATCAAGCCTTAATCTCATCCTAAGGAGTTTACAGCCACAATGTCCATGAGTTTACACCCTGGCCGTAAACTCATACAGTTTACACCTTGGCCGTAAACTCATACAGCTTACACCCTGGTCGTGAACTCATAGAGTTTACACCCTGGCCGTAAACTCTCGTCCAGATATATGGCTCTT